CATGCAATAAACCAATCAGAGTGTCATCTCCCATTCCCTTTAAGAGGCAGTTGCGCTCGTGCCATGGTGGATTTGCTATTTACACGGCGGAATTTGCTAGCGCTAAGACAGAACGCGTCTCCAGAGATGAAACAGAGCTGCTCGTGCGTGAGCAAATAGGTATCCTAATTCTGACACATGCAATGGCTATCCATTATGACATGTAGGCATTTTTATATTCATGTAGCCTACACAATAATAATCTTTTACATTTTAATCTTTTATTGTTTCATGTTTAAAAATGTTTGTGTGCTGCTGCGCGTCCCTGTGTGTAATAAGCAAAGTGAACGCGCATTGTGGACCCGCCCAGAGGCGCATTTTCTACTAATGCACTCTTTAAATAACAAAAAAAATATTGCCGTATTACAGTATACAGTCTATTTTCAGTTCCTCAAAATAGCAACGCGCCAACAATGCGCCTGAACACACCTCTTTTTTAGACCCTGAGCGCTCAAATGCATTTGCTCAATGAGTATGTCGAATTAATGACTTAATATCTTGAAATAACGAGATAAGTTTTCCTTTTTTTTCCCCTACCATAAGTTTTCTTTTTTTTTTTTTCACCATGTGGTTCAGGGCTTCCGTAGTATTTAACCTGATCACGTTTAATAAAAAGACATTTTAAGTTTCTAATTATAATGCCGCATGTCCACGATTATTCAAACGACAAACAAACAGCGAGCAAAGAACATTTACATTATCAAATAATTTAATAATTCAGTCTAGCGTGAGTGTAAGCACTCTTAAAAAAAGCTCCAGTTTTAATCAGTGATGTTGTCTGCAGTATATGATGAATAAATCTCTTATTTACATCACATGTACATCTGCGCTTTGTTGTTTCTGATGAGAGAATTCGCCAAAGTGCAGAATTCAGTCAGCGAGCGTGCTCTCTGACCATAAGTCAGCAATGTTAATATTTAGTAAAATCCCATTAAATAATAGAAATAATAAAGAGATAATTATTGAACTAAAATCACAAAGCACACGTATATATTTGTTCTCATATAATTCTGTCTTCATTAAAAAAATCCCCCACTGTGGCCCCGCCCCTGCAACATCAAACCCCC